CTCCTTGTCATCACTGACATCCTTATAATTTATTATATTTTAAACTGTGATCGCACATTATATCCAGCTCCACAGTCGTGGCACGAGCTAAGTAAAAAAAAACTTTAGCGGCGGCACGACAGTGAATATATCTCGAAGCAGGAGTTTCCCAGTGTACATTTTGGTGTTTTTTTCACCGGACCTAACTAATTGTCTACAGAATCAATTAATACCTAATAAATTGGAAAAAATCAGACAATTTGTGCAGATGATCGTTTTGCAAAAATCAACGAAATCGTATGTTTAGAAGTCGAGTTATTAAAAAAAAAAAAGGGCAAACTTTTTAATGAGAAATTATAATGAAATCTGGAATCACGGAAGCCGCATCTCGCGTTGTCGTAACGACCGGTTCCCCCTCTCGTGTATGCGATGCATTTCATTATTGCTTTTTCACGATTTAACTTATTTATTATTTGTTTCATTTCGTTATCGTCTATCGCTTCATTAAATCACCTTATACCTTACATTTCTAATATTTTATTTAATGTAATTTGTTAAAATGTTAAATTGTAATATTATATTACTAGTATTAGTGTATATTAGTGTGTTATTATTAGGTGCTTGCACCTCGCGTACAATAATATTTTGGTAATATTTATTTATAAATATGCCGAATAAAGTGTAAAAACAAAGAATAAAAATAAAGAAAAGTACTTATTGAATAAAAAGTTAAATCTATACTTATAAAATCCAAATACCACTCACTCACTGATCACTGTATCTCAAAAACTACTCAACGTACAGACTTGAAATTTGGAATAGGGGTTCTTCTCATATTTTCACCGTGCAATAAGAAAGGATTTTCAAAAATGTTGCGTTTTAGTGGAGTAATTAACAATTATAATTATTCACCGCCAATACGTATTGTGCGGCACGGCGGCCCGCGGGTTTCCAGCTACCTGCAACCTATCCTTTTTGTTCGTCGTCTAGAATAATTGTTATTGTTCCCAGAAGTTTATCGATAAAAATAATCTCATGCATCGCCCGTACACCAATTATAATGAACGATAACATAAACCAATACACATACAAATTCTATTTATTAGTTATTATCTCTCCATTGCCTTGCCACGGTGCCTATACATTAAACACGATCGTTTCATTTGCACTCCGCGTCTCCGCAGTCCGCACTACCAGCAGTTCAGACGTGCGTTACATATTATAAAATATTTACGGTGTTGTGTTCGTCTGCGCGTTTGGAAATAAAATATTTACGGTGTTGTGTTCGTCTGCGCGTTTGGAAATGTATATATAATAGCGTTTTCGTAAATTACAGTCGACGGCGGCGAGGCGGTGCCGTAAACGACATCAATAATCTATACTTATAAAATCCAAATACCACTCACTCACTGATCAGTGATCACTGTATCTCAAAAACTACTCAACGTACAGACTTGAAATTTGGAATAGAGCTAAGGTTCTCCTCATATTTTCACCGTGCAATAAGAAAGGATTTGCCGAAATTCGCATTTTAAATAGGTGCTCAAACAGGGGGTAATCGGAAAAAAATCCCCCGACGAACAACCCCGGAAAAAAAATCCCCGACCCTAGGAAAAAAAATCCCCAGCTACAATATTACTGACAATCACATGGTTGAACAAATATATTTTGAACATTAATTAGTATCTATAATTAATATTTAATGACAAATACGTACCATATTATATTATATTATATTAAATTGTTAAAAAAATTATAAAAATATTTATAATGGTCGATACGTCAATTAATAATACAGTTAAAAACATAGTATACAAAAATATTATACAAAATATAGGTACCTATATATTTTATCTAGGTATAATTCTGTAAAAATTGAATTCCCGAAATAAAATATTGCATTTTTTGTGATATTTTGACGATAAGCGGTTTAGTATGTACCTTTGATAATATATAATATAAGGTAAAGTTAGTTATTTAATTTGAATTACACATAATATATTATCGTAATTTAAAACAAAATATTATTTATAATATATAATTTTTTTAACAATATAATAAAATATAATATATTATATTATAATATAATATAATATCAGTCCTGTAAAGTATTTGAGTAAAAGTATTTGAGTAAAAGTATTCAAATACTTTTTTAAGTATTGAATAACTTTTTAAATACTTTCAGCATGTAGTATTTTGAATGGTATTTTAAATACTTTTATTTGTATTGAATACTTTTTGGTATTGAATACTTTGGTTTTTTATTTCGAACATTTTATTTTTATTCGAAATAATTTTAGAAATTTTAGAATGAATTAAGAACACAAAATAGGTAATATCACCAATGGGTGGTTTCTTCCCTCAAAAAAAAAATCATACGCAAATACCCTATGCACATTTGCTTATTGTTCTAGTTAAGAACAGATTGTAAATTTCATGTAAAAATAAAAAAAAAAAAATGTAATAAACATTTATTTAATAAATAATAAATAAAAATGATTATAAATTTACTACCTATGTGTCTATATTACAATAATTAGAAACCCACTTTAAAAACCAAAAGTTTTTGAAAAGTATTCCAAAAGTATTTGAAAAGTATTCCAAATACTTTTTCAAAGTATTTGAGTAGTATTTGAAATACTATACAATTAAAGTATTTGAGTAGTATCTTAAATACTTAAAAAAAAATGTATTTGAGTACTTACTCAAGTACTTTTCAAAAGTATTCTTTACAGGACTGTATAATATACAATTTGTAATTAAATATTAATTATAGATACTAATTAACGTTTAAAAAATATTTGTTCAACCATTTGCATGAGGTTGTGAGTAATATTGTAGTCTGGGGATTTTTTTCCGGCGTTGTTCGTAGGGGGATTTTTTTTCCGGGGGATTTTTATTCCGGGATTCCAAACAGGGACATAGAGATTCACGATGGAATTTGGAAATTTTATTTTTATTTTTTGATAGTTGCCATTGGTTACGGTCTACAGTAGAAATTAGCATTTATTTATTATTGGTTGCCATTGGTTATTCGGGCAGATCAGGTACAAGCTTGCATCAAATCGAATTATTGAACACTTGCGCCTACCAGGGTAGCTGGGTTGCACTTACCGCAGCAAGTTACACCCAAAGCAGTTGAACAATCATAATTTTTTTAAGAGTCGCGATTTTTTATAGGGGGAAACAAAATTTGTTTTATTAATCCACCGTATTATATCAAAATAAACTTGGTATAACTTTGATACTTTAGAGTTAAATCATACACTTACGTACCAACACAACTGGGTCTGCGATCTACCGCAGGTAGATTGCCTACCTGATATATAATACTGCTGCGAATCAGAATTTTTATTCCAGGCAACAGAATAGTTAAGATAAATTTTGAATGCCATACACCGAATTTTAAATAACGAATTGAACAAAGTTTGAGTCATATAGAGTTGGTACATTTAACGGGGCAACGAAGTGCACGGGTTCAGCTAGTTAGTAATAAAATTAATTCCCCGAAAAAACGGTTGTCTCGACAATTGTCTAAAAAATTGATGACATAACAACAAAAACACTTCGTCGAACTCAGTGTAAAAAACGGCTAAGTAAAAAAAAAAACAGATCTCTAAAGACTATAAAGAAGTGATATCATAAAATAAATGCTAAGTAAATTGAATTAAAGTACACTTATTTTGTTTCAATAATTTATTTACTTGGAGAGAAATTATATCCAACTACCTTGTAGGGTCACGTCAAGTATAAAAAGAAAAGTGTTTATTAAAATACACATATAGGCAAAATACACACGATAACTGCAGGACCATAATTACAGGAAGCAACACGATTCATGAAAAAAATTTCTCGAGAAAGCATAGAAAATTTTTAGTTAAATAATGAAGTTTAAAAATTCAATAATCTAATTGGAAATTTTACTAAGAAGTGTGTGGTGTAGTTTTCAAATAATTTATCTTGTTTTCGATTTGCACGGTAGCATACTGCATACACCTATATAGGTAATGGTGCTATAGATAGGTATTAGGTATATATATATGTATATATTTTGAACAGCGTGCAAAGCAATGTGTTATAAATAAAATGTCGTTAAAGAAAGGACCGAGATTATTTGTTTCGATATTATTCATTTGTATACTATATTGCAAAATACTGAATGTGATTTTATGTACGCCCCAGAGGAATTACTGCAGTTTTCCGTATATATAGTTATATCATAAGTATATACTTTAACAATATCATACCTACAGGTTATTATAATAATCGACCGGCACATCGTAGAGGGAATGATGGAGTTCGGCGATAAAAATGGAACGGAAGAAATAGCGCAATATAGTACCCAGGTATATATGGTGGTAAATACGCGCTCACCAATAATATAATATTATGTCGTATTGTATATTATATTATGTATAAATGTTATGTATGCGAATGCGTGTAGTAATTCATACGTGAAAATCCGTTTCGCCACGTGCATGTGAAATCAACCGTGTATATCGTTTAACTATACGAAAAACCGTATCTGGAAAAGTATAGCTTTTGGTTTCGGGTTAAATATTGTCGAGGCGGAGAATGGTGCAGCACTTAAGTACCTACGTAGTCGTATTGCAGCTGCAGTTATTTTCAATTCCACCACAAGACATTTGGGCTTGTATGTAAAAACCATAGTATGGGTACTGCACAAGACTCCGGCGGCATATTAAAACGTGTGTCAGAAAAACGTTTTGCCCGCCGTTGACACGCTTATATATACACAGACACACAGTAGTTAATATAATTTCCCATCTTATTCCCTCAGGTAATCAAGCGTATTCGTCTTCCTCAACCGAAGCGTACACGTGATCAGTACACACAATATTATGTATATTATGTTTATTTGATCTGTGTATGTGTTTGACGCATATTGTAGATGGTTTACGCATAAGCTGATGATAGCTCAACTTTCGAGTATATTACGGTAGGTACATAATATAAATTCTGTATAATAATATTAACTGTCTATACAATAATATGATTACCTTGTTCCGATCACGCATAGATCCACGTCCAAGTATTGCCATTTTCGTTATGGTGTCTTCCTGTAATCTCTTCAATGAGTTGCCTTTTGGTCCCAATAGTTTTCCCACAAAATTAAACTGAAAACATAAGAAATATGTAAGATATAAAATGCGTTTTGACAATTATTTGTATACATTTCAAATTGCAATACATATTTATATAAAAAACTGCCTTTTAGAAATTAATTTGTAAAAAGTACAAACTTATAACAGGTATGTAAGAAAAATACGTAACTATACCTATATAAGATAATATTTATTTATTATTATTTATACTATAAAAAAATTAGAAAAATGATAACAGTGAAACCTCTGAATAGCGGACACTATCGGTCGCCGAAATTTTGTCCGCTATTTAGAGGTGTCCGCTATTTAGAGGAAAACATTTTTTTTTAACAAATAAATAAATTCAATAATTTTATTTTATATTATTTTTACATTAATTGAATACACAATAAAACTAACATTTATGAAAAAAAAAACAGTTACCTAAATTTGTATTTTAATTTTTACATTAATTAAATACATACCATCTTCAAAAAATAAAAACTAACATTTCTGAAAAAAATCTGTTACTTTAGTTTGTTTACTAATTGCAGGCGTAGTTATTTCGTATGTTAAGGCATTTTCTAGATAAGATTTTCATATACAGTATAATAATGTACACATAAGATAACTTAATAATTCAGGTTTTTATTCAGGTATTCCAAAATAATTCTTAATTTAAGATAAAAATAACTAATATCAACGTCATAAAAGTGTCCGTTATTTAGAGTGTCCTGTATTTAGAGGTTTTCCTATACATAAATAGTGAAAATGTTCCCGTCCCCGAAAAAACGTCCGCTATTTAGAGGTGTCCGTTAAGGGAGGTTTCACTGTATTAGAATCGATATATCAAATGATTCCATTTAGTGGTGGTTGCTGGTTATCAAAAATATTATTATAAGCAATATATAAATGCTTGTAACAAATAATAGCTTTGATTCGATATATGCAAATAATCTATAATTCCAAACCTAAAACAACATCAAAATATGAAGAAAAACAATTAATAAAAAACCACAGAATATGCTGTTCTATATTTTTCCTCTACAAGGAAAATCTATAAATCATAAATATATTTTTGTTAATAAGTAACCATGACAACGAAAACGTCTATTTTGCAAAATCGGTTGGAAAAAAAAAATATCTGTACTCAGCCCAAAAACATGTAATATAAGTTTTAAAAAAATGTATATATGCACACAATTTTCCTAAACAATAACTGGAAATTTTTAAGTTGTTATATTACCTACCACCTACGTATTATTATTATTTAAAAGCATCTAAGACAATGTACATTTACATTTTGGCAGTTGAATAATATTGTCTAGATAGCTAAAGCCTAAAGGCTAGAATACAACAGTTTATATAGGTACTATTATATAAGCTAATATATGAAAAATACACCATCTAAATATTTCATAATATTAGAATTCTGACAGGTATGATATTACATTTTAAATATTGGTACTTTCAACCTCTCAGTCTCCTTGCACACATTTTAAGAAAACTGATACAACCAATTGGATTGGAAGCTGAGTTAAAATCTAATATGCCTCTTTCATAACATTAAATATTTAAATGTAAATAATTTAATAGCACCATAACAGTGCATTATAATTTTATTGAAAATGTAATTAATTTAATGTTGAAATGTACCTATATTTTATAATTTACAATTATAATGAAAATAAATATTTTTAAAAACACTTAAAATTTCATTTTAACTCAAAATAAAAAAGGTGCTCTGCTGTACAGTAGGTTACAAGTGGGTCACTGTATAATGGATGGCATTAAATTTGAATTCAATGATATAATATCATTGTATAAGAAAAACGATTCTGAGCGGAGACGGTATGTCAGTCTAGGTATAAGACATATTATATACATATCTATGGTATTAAAAAAAAATTGACCTATAATAAATTCCAAATTAATCATATCACAATATCCATTAGGTACTTATAACGCGTTGTACGTCAAAACAAACCCTGAAAATTTTATAGATATATAATAGTGTACTTTAGAAGTTTCAAGTACTACCCACGAATAAAATTATACAATCACAACAAAATAACTAAAATAGTTATTCTACGTTTTTTTTTTTATGTAATTTCGTCCAAATTTGAACTTAAAATGACTATAAAAATAAACTATGTTTATGTATTTTTTAGATTTTTTGGTAACAGAAATAACTACATCCGTGGAATCTTGTTTTAAATTTTCAATCCTTACATATAAAAGTTGAATATTTTATAAGTTTTTAACTACAAAATAATTATTCAATTTTAAATTTGATACATTTTGTCAAAATTCGATCTTTAAATGCTTATAAAAAAAATTGTGCCTATGTATTTTAAATATTTTTCAACTGATATTGTAACAATATAATATCAGGAGCCTTGTAATACATTTTTACACTTTTTGGCCCATCAAATAAAACTTTATTGATATTAAAAGAAAAAAAAAAGAAAAAAATTGAAAACTGTAAATGTCCATAAACAGCACCAAAAGGGTCAAAATATTTTCATACAAATTTAAATTGACTTTTTTATAGACATTTTTTTTTGATAATGGTAGATAATCTCATAAGGAATCTTGTATTACATTGTAAGATCTTAGATTCAAAAAAAAAATTTTTATGAATTCTTAACTCAAAATAATTTGCTAATTTTCGTGATTTTTTAATATTTTGTCGATTTTTGAACTTTAAATGCTTATAAAAAAAAACTGTGACTAAGGATTTTGAATATTTTTCATCTGCTTTTGAAACAATATACTAGGAGCCTTCTATTAAATTTTTAAGCATTTTTAACCACCAAATAAAATGTTATTGATATTTTTAGAAAAAAACTAAAAAAAAATGGAAAATGAAAATATTCCTAAACAGTTCAAAACGAATCATAATATTTTGAAAATTTCATCGTGTATGGAAAATGCAAATATGAATAACCAGTCAAAATGTCATGTATATACATACATTTGTTTTAGAGTTACACCAAAAAACAAAATCGATTTTGTGGAAAACCGATTTTGCGTAAAAATTCCCGGTTTTCCTTAATTTGTATGTTGTTTAGGTTAGGTTAGGTGATTTTGAAAACTACTGGAAAAATTTTAATTTTACTCCTCAAAGTAAGAAAATCCAAGCACTTTTACTGTACTAAAAGGTGATGACTGATGACAGACACAAAAAAAAAAAATGTTTTTTTTCACTCAGAATCTAAAAAAAACACACATCATTGTAAAACCAATACATTCATCGTTCCACACAGAATCTAAAATTGAAAAACTGGAGAGTTTACTTCTACAGTCTCTATAGTAGGATTCGCGTGTAATCCAGCATAAGGAGTAGATCACTTTAATCGACTATCGTTAAATTAGAATTTAATGATAATTAAAACGAAATTATTGATTCAATATAGGATAACATTTTTCAAAAATAAAAACATCTAAATAAATGTGCAAAAAAGAGTCATAATATTTTGTCTAGTAAATGCCAATATAATTAATATTAAATATATGGTGAATTGCAATAAAAAAAACAAAATTAATCATCAAAAACTCGTGTGCCGCTTTCTTTTTCACATTTTTTCGCTAATTTTTTCCAATTAGAGTTCTAAGATTTTTATACTTTTGACCTCCCAAAATACCAACTATATCAAATGTGCTTACCAGAAACACTCAATGTGTTTTTATAATTGGATCAAATATTTTGTTCAAACGTGAATACTGACAAAAAAAACTAAAACATAATTCATAATCAATAGATACATTACTCGCTTCACTCAGTTATTAGTTATTACGCTCTAATACTTTCAATTCTGGGATTCTTAACGCAAAAGAACACACAATTTATATAATATCCTTATCCCTATAATATAACAATATAATATTATACCTATATACAGGGTGATACTACCAAGCATGCTCAATCTAATTTTTTTACTTAAAATTAAATGTATTACAATTCTGATTTTTGGATTGTTTAAATATATACAAGGAAATATTTTCAAATTCTTGAGATTTTTTTATTACTTAAGGAGTGTCTTGTGTTGATTTAAACTTTGGTTTTTAAGATGAGAACCCCCCCCCCCCACCTCTTTTTAGTGGATAATTTTATTTGAAAATGTTGAATTCAAAATTCGAATGAGTAGTTTTGCAGTTATTAAAATGTGTTTATTAAGGATAATAGTACTTACAAATGTTTTAACAAAAATATAAAGTAGATATAATATTGGTTCTAGTATTTATTATACTTGGACCATTTTTATTTATCAATATAATTTACTATAATTTTCAAATTACCGGCTTATATCCGAACCCTGCAATTATCATCATGGATCTATTATTATTATACCTAAACAAAGTTAAATAACTCAAAAACTACGTTTGAATTTTGTTTCGTAATATAATACGTCATCCGTTTTCAGAAAAATTATCCGCAAAATAATTTGCTGTTTAAAAGGGGGGAGGGGGTTTCTTTTGAAAAACAGGTGTTTGCATCTCCACGGAAGACAGGGCACTCCTTAGGTGGTACAAAAATCTAAGGAATTCAAAAATATGAATTTTAAGTAGATAGGTACGTACATTTAAAAATTCAAATAATAATATTTGGAATAACTGCATTTTTTAAGTAAATATAATACATTCTTATACATTTATACTATTATACTTAAGATAAATTAAGTTTAAGTACCTACCTAAACATAATTTTTGAACGAAATAATACATTTTATGCCTACCGTTGGCATAAATATTCGCCTTGTAAGACTACCTTAGTGCATAACGAGCACACACGTTATAATGAGCGTAGATCTTTTATGAATATAAAATTTGGAGGGAGGAGCTAATGTAACGCACCCGGACGCACTACACGATGATTATCTTATACGATATTCTGTTTACGAGCTAAGTATATAATATCTATATATTACACATTGCTGATATTATATGAAGTACTAAACTGATGTGTTTTCAAGTGAGGGGACACATATGCCATTATACTTGATTAAGTTGTCTACCAACTACAGCTGTGTATAATCTGCAATTAATTATCTAAAAGTAATTTAATTTCTTTAAATAACCATTGACACGGCAACACTGTCAAATACATAGTTCATCAATTAATTATAAAATATTAACTGAAACAGTTTTAAGAATATTTGTTATGGATGAAGTATAATATACCTACCTATTCTACAATATAATAAGTAATATTATATTGACACATTGAGTAAAACCTAACCTAACCTATATTATTAATTTAAAAATAATTAGTGATCATAAATAAAACGTAAAATGTCAGTGTTTTTCTTTTATAATCGTATAATCGTATAATGATATATAAATATTAAATACACATCCTCAGTGGAAAATCGGGGTGTCAATGAGATGCAGGAAGGTTAATAAATTTCAACAATATCGATAAGGTGCAATCATAAAATCATGTCATATGGCGTTATGCCTATGAGTTTTAGATTCATATTCATCTATTCATCTAATCATTGTATTCTAATGGATATCAATATCGTCCAATACTCCAATGCATACAAATATGGTAATACGTAGAAATTTATTTTACATTTAACAATGGCTCAAATATAGGTATAAAATAATATTACGTTGTTCCTATAATGATGAGCTACCTATTTGCCATAATACTATTTTCGATATCTGGACAAACGTTAAATATTACCTACATAAACCTAAAAAATAATGTGAACAACATAATTTACTGATGTAGTTTCGATGTAGATATCGTGTAATAATATTATATGTATAAAATGTTTGGGTTTGAAACATCTAAATATCTAATTTATATTAATATCTAAAAACCGCATCAATATTGATACGTCATAATATTATATAGTTCACGGATACAAATTATTAATTATAATCTAAAACATGTATAATAATTAATAAGTATTTCCTTCATCTAATTGTAAATGATGTATCCCTAGTGCATACCTTTGGATGGTCTCTTACAGGTACAGCTACCCTGATGGAAACTTTAATTGGTTTGTCGCGGGTTATGTCCACCATTCGACGAATACTCTCCGATTTTCCTCCGTTCCTAGCTTCTAAAACCATAAGAATACTTTTTTTAAAATTACTGTTGTTATTAAACTGAGATAGACTAAGGATTTATTACATTTTTAAGGTAGAAAGTGCAAAACAATTTAGATACTGAGCGAACAACGGAGTTTTTGTACCAACTGCAAAGATTATTAATCTCGAGATTAAGGGGATTCGATACCGTGATTTTTTGTTTTTGTCTAACACACGCGTGACATAGTATTTTAGACGTGTTTTTGCCAAACATTCCAATTGATCTATTGAAGCGATAAGATTTCTGAAAACAGATTTGAATTTGTCGTCAAGTCTACTTGAAATCGACTTTCCCACATTTTTGATTTTTTGATTTAAACTTCTCCAAAAATTGAAATAACAGAATTTTTAAATACTCTTTTTGAATATGACATTTTAAAAAATTTAGGGGATAATATCAAAAATGTGGGAAAGTCGATTTCAAGTAGACTTGACGACAAATTCAAATCTGTTTTCAGAATTCGTATCGCTTCATTAGATCAATTGGTATGTTTGGCAAAAAACACATCTAAAATACTATGTCGCGCGTGTGTTAGACAAAAACAGAAAATCACGGTATCGAATCCCCTTAATTACCTATTTTATATTTTACATTGCTTATAAAAGTAATAGAAAAGTTTTATCTGTCCCTGTCAGTCAGTTAAAAATGTAATAAATATAAATAGTACAGTACCTACTATTACTAATGTCTAATACACTAAATATTCAGAAATCAAATGAGATCATTTTTAATGAAATTATTATTTTTATTCAAAGTAAGCAATAAATACGCGTTTAATGAATGTGGTACTAAAAACAGTAAAATGTATTGCCTTCGTTTAAACCTTAAATCTTAAACAATTTTGGATAAACCAAATTTGAACGTAATCGTTTTTCGAATTCAATGACTTACCATCGTGTATTTCTAATTTCAAATGATAGTACAATATTCTCTGGCTTACACCTAGGCGAGCGAAGCAGAATGAGTTATGAGTACCTATAGGTAACGACTTACGAGTGCCCAACATACTCCGTCACTTTATTCTGTGTTTGTCTACTTTTTAACTGTTATTTTTATCAATTTAACATTTACACACCTAAATAATGACGAGTTAACATTTAAAAGTTTTAAATTAAATTTGTCACTTGTAGGTGCGATCGGTTTTTATCGTTCAACACCGTGCTGGCGAATACCCAAAACGTAATACTGTGCCAGGTACAGAACGTTAGTTTACGATTACGACTATCGTAAATTTGACTTTAGCACGCTAACCCGGTGCTACAATGACTACTTAATGTTAGAAAAATGAGACAAAATCGTTATTTTTACTCAATACATACGATGTCTAGGACACGATAATAATTGAATGCGATTACCTACCTATAGATGTAATTTTTATACCATGTTTATATTATAATTTTTATTATTTGTATTTTTGTTTAATAAGCTATTTTTTTTTTTTTTTGTTATTGTAAACAAATCATTAAATATATTCATATAAATTAATATCAATAAAAAAGACAAACAAAAAAAAAATACAGTTACTTAAGTTAATAGGTAAAACAAATCGTATAATTTATAATTTCATACAATTACCTGATTGAGAACTTAATTTAAGATTTTCATTTTTATTGCCGTGGAATTGATTCTCGTCGTCAACTTCTACAATATCCATATCTGACATGATAGCGATAAATCATCCGTTTGAAATTTTATTTTACGTAAATAGTTCAGTGAATTAATTACAATAATCGCATAAGACCTGAAATATCAAAAGCTTAAAGTTTAATTTTATAAAAAAAATAAATGTTGTACCTATTGCATATTATTCTTGTACTTTGTAGTATGAAAAACGAATAGTGAATTTCTTTTAAAATAGTCATAATTAAATAATATTATAAATAATAAAAGAAATATTATAATAATGCATATGAAATATGTACGATTTACATAGATTCCTACATGGTTTTATAGTTTTATACCTACCTACTTTTAAAAGTTCTAAATACTAACTTACAAATTACGCTGCGAAATTAAAAAAAATTGTATGTAACCTGACGTAAATGATTCAATTATTGATTAATGATTAGTCTCGCCGTGTAATATATTAAGTAGAAAAAATTACATCAATGAGTTGACTGCGTCAACTGTGTGATGGTAGGTACCTACAGGCTATTTTCTGTTCGAGATAATATGAGGTTTTGTTTACCTATAATTTATACTCTACAGTCTACTAATATATAGTACTTCTAATATTATTAACACGTATTGCACTAACATCTTAAAAATATATTAGGTATAATATGTATGATTCAATATGATGCTATTATATATTATAAACGAAACTAAATTTATGTACCTAGGTGATTAATGATCTGATAGGTAAGGTCTCTTATATCAAGTAGGTTACCTGAATTGCATGATTGTAGTATGGAAATGAAATTATTATAACGAAAATATTATCATGTTATTCATATAAAATATATGGAATTAAGTGTATGTACCTGTAGTGTTACCTACCAGTCTGTCATAAACTAATTTTTATAGAGGAAAATTAATTAATAATTTAATAAAAATAATAATATGACTATGTGAGACACCTATTTTAATTTTTGAAAACTGAATACTATGCCTATGCATTATAGGTAATATTAACATTATTATTGTGCATACAAATTTAAAAATCTAATTATTTAATCAACTATATAACACAATAACTATAAATATAAAAAAAAAAATTACTGTGTATCAATATTTAATTATATTATTAACTATACTGTTTGAGTTAATAATAAAAATATTAATTATTAATTTTATTTTATAGATTAAAAGTTGTAGTAATAAAAATAATATTACACATTTTCCATAAATATAATGCTATAATACAAAGGTATTTTTTAAATAATTTAAACTGACTTACCAAATTATACGACAAATAATATAATATCTTCAGGAGTATGTTTCAAGTGATATAATTCTGTTGAAATGTTAAACCTATACTAAACTTTATGAAAGGGCTGCTTTTCGTTTACCCTCGTCGTTGCTACGATATCAACGCTATCTAGTGACATAATAATGTATACAATTTAAATGTATATTAAAATGTATAAATGAAATTTAATCATTGATATAATTAGGACACAAAGGATTATATAAAGCACTTCACAACTTTCAGTGACAGAGCTTATGAACATCCCATATAATAATTTCAAAACCCAAGGAATTATAAAATACACTAACTGAGATTAAATATAGTTAAATTTGTAAAGTTTACGCTTTTGATAAACCTAATATGGTTACGGTTATTCATACAAAAATATCAAGCTGAATTAAATATAGATATTTGAATTAAAAAGTTAGTTACATCTAAATATGTATGTATATACAAATGTAAAGCAATTTAATAAAATCGATACAAATTATACAACAAATTAATAAATAACGTTCGATCAACAGTCGTAATTTATCTCATGTCTAAAAAAAATTAAAAATTAAAACAGAATGTATGACAATGTGATGTTTAGTCTTTAATTTATCACATATAGGGTCGCAAGACAGATATAATATTATGTTAAAGTTAAACAATATATAGTTAATAGGTAAAGATTACAGACAGTTCGGAAAAATTACAGAAACTACAGCTAATTATAGATCAACTCAAAAAAATATAAATTAGTAGGCACCTACTAATAAGAAATCTTTTACGGTATTCAAAAATATATTTTGAAATTATAATTTACAGTAATTAGGTACTCATGTTTTAACACTTCTAATAAATACATAATAGTTTTTTTTAATGTTTATAAAAAATGTTCAAATGAAGGTAAGTATTTATAATCATGGAAAATATCAAATAATAATTTTCTAAATTGAGATTAAAGTCAAAATATTATATAACTTAACTTCATGTTAAATCAATAAAGTTAAAAATGTATTAATCTTCATTGCATGGTATACTTAAATTCAAGTGTTTAATAATTTACATTCAAGTTTTAATCAATTTTAAAATGTTGAATGGTTTAAAAAACGTCAGCAAGTACAACTCAAACCAAGCTCGCCACAAAATTGGTTTTCTATAATGCGATAATTTATTATTGCTTTTAAATTTTATATCTCAACACGTCTCTATTCTGCACCGAGTGAGCGAAGCGTGACGAATGTCGAACACCCGGTCTTTGTATCCTGTCCAGTTTTTTTAAAGTATCATTTATTATATCTGATTTCTAAAACTCCAACAAATACTGCACTCTATACTTCAGAGTTGAGGGGCACTCTTAATATCGATACCAACAAAGTTTACCTATAATTGACTTGATAAAATAATGTATAGAAAACATTATTGTACAAGTAAAGCTTCTCAGCTCCACACAAAACAGTCAGGACCCAATGTATCAAAAATTATTTACAACAATTTTAATTATTTATACGATAGTCAATGGACCTTTATGATTTTATCGGTTTAGGTTTTCAAAAGTGTAAAATTTCGGTTTTAACCCTTTCTATAAGACTTGCTTTTTGTTTGATTTTTAAGAATTAAGGACTGCAGTATAAATATATTGTCATTGTTGTATGGACCTTTATTTAATGACAGCTCTTTGTAGTTAAGTGCTTTTCATAATTTAGGTAATATGATATCATTAAGATTATCACTTAAACTATAAAAAATATACTATTATTTTCAAGTGACTATTCACGATAGTTTCACTTAATCGTTAAATTCTTAACAGTGTACAAATTCAAAAAAATAACACTTTTTAATAGTTTATACAGATGTAACTATAATAGAAAAACATACAAAACATAATATACGTGTATAAAGTGGTAAGAATGTAAGATTAACTATATATTATGAGAAAATTACTTTAGTATAACTGTATAAGAAAAAGAATACAAAATGCATTAATAATTAACAATAGTTTAACAGTTTAACTTATTAATTATTGAAAGATACATGTTGTAATATAAATATAATATATTATTTGTAGTGACTTTTTCTTGAGGAATCTTTTTTTAAAATAATAGTTCGAACGATTAACTGGTCCATCAGGTTTATAGATGGCATGTTACAACTGTAGGGCAATAATGTACATTTTAACCACGAAATATGGTTTCGGTTTCGGTGCCTAAAAAAAAATTGTTTTAGGATTCCGTTCTGGATCGGTCCCAAGATTCTCAAAAGGTTTAGGTCTAAAACTGGTCTTTTTTAGAATACAGTTCCAGTCCTTGCGTTAAGGAACATGGATTGGAACGTATATGTACAAATTATTAATCACTAGGTAGTAACTATAAAATAATGTACATAATTATTAAATACCTTAAGATCAAGCACGTATCCAGGATCAATTTTCGGGGGGGTTTAAAATATTTCAAAGACGTATGTAGTTAGTTTTTGTTACCTATATTATAAATATATACCTACTTTAAAAATTTCGGGGGGGGTTTGAACCCCTAAACCCCCCCCCCTGTATACGGGCCTGCTTAAGATACATACAAACTATTACAAAGTATATTATATAATAAATTAAGATAATACAGGCATCTGATATAAACGATGTATGTGTTGTGTACACGAATTTTCTTAAAAACCAATTTTTACAGAATATTATCCTTAGGGTTTTAAAATTTAAAATCATACATTTTATAAATAGAATTTTTAAGTATTTTTAAGTATATTTGAATAATTTAACATCCAAAAAAATAATACACTATCAAAGACGTGTTTTTTATTTTTATTCTTTGGTATAAGAGCTTAGTTGTGCTTGATGTAAACTTTAAAACGGTCTTAATATAAAATCATTTAAAGTTTGTTAGTATATTTTATTTTTATTGAAGCTGTGTTTAAAAACCATTAAATAAAAGCCTACACAACACTAGAAGCAAACGAGTTGTGAATTGTTTTTATATGTTCTCTTTTTTTATTGTACCTATTGTTCTTTCTTTGTGTCTTAAAAAATAAGTCACCAAGAGCTATGTCATCAAATATATATTCTTTGTATTTTTTTTTTTTGCGTCTCTGGGCAGTTTTAAGAATAACTCCTCTATTTAAAAAAAAACTCGTTAAAAACATTTTAAAAATAATATTGTTTGTTCACGTACGTATAAAAATGGTTGATAGGAAGTGTTGAAATTTAAATCAAATTTCAGAGTAAAAATTAAACTTTATTTAAAGGATACAATTATAAATAAGACCAGTATTGATCCATTTATTCATACATATATACATGTAAAATAATAATTAACTCTTAATATTATTATATATTTAGTGATTTTCTTTTATTCAATACAGAGGAGTTATTTAGTTCAACATTTTAATTTTTAGTATTTTTCAAATGAAATGTAGGTAAAATTATTGATTTCATAAGGTCAATATTATTTTTACGACAACCTATTATACTGGAGATGCATTTAATAAAAAACGGGGTTTATTCTTGCATGTATTTTGCATAATGATTTTTTATTGTTCGTATTGTATACACCTATAACATTCATCTTTGAGCTTTCACAACTTCACCCTTTGTTTACACATCATCTTTAAATAATTATAAGTATACAAATATTACATTCAAAAAGGGGGATTTTTCTAATTGTACATAATAATAAAATCTTTTGTCCTCAAAATAATTGACTAAAGAATCAGTTGTATTAATTATATATTTTTCTTTTCAAATATACGACACATTATGT